AAAATTATCAACATAAAAAGCAACAACTTAGAATTCAATCTTTCAAATACTTGTGATCGATAAATAGTCTAAAAGTCAATGTTTCCAAAGAGAATAATAAAAAAAAAGAACATATAAAAGAATGCAAGTCTAAAATTCAGTGGACATGGCGGCAAGCCATGGACATGGCCATAAGAATGATAATAACAATGTAATATTAATAATAAACATAACCATCCTCATTGTCATTACAGTGAATTAGTGGTTTGAACTTAGGAGTTCTCTAGAACTCATAGACATTAGTCCAACAATGCAATTTGTGATTTTGTTTAAATTTTTCTTGGTTTATGATGAAAAAATAAGAAGGGACTGTCCATTTCTTGGTGGGTCAGTTGAGTATAGCAGTGTTATATCATAGCAGATTTATTTAATATTTACATTTGGCCACTGAAAGATGTGTACCTTGAGTCCTGAAGTCTTTCAAGTACAGTCATTGTGTAATATATAAAATTTTTCTTCTCTAATGCAAAATACACTTGCATGACATTTCACAAATTTCCTTCAGCAGAAGCTTTCTCAACCAAAGCTTTAATAACAAGTTTACATACAGTAGGAAACGTTTACAAAATAATCAACTGTAAACATGGTAACATACTCGTCACTGAAGAAATCCAATGAACCTGAAAACACAACCCTGGCATTGTTCCTGGCTTGAAGACCAGCAATCAACAAAGTGCTCTTGCCAACAGCATGTGGATACTGAAAATACAAACATGTCTCTAATTAAGTTGATCAGTAAACATTAGAAAGAAGGTTAAAACAACCCTACACAATATGAAATGCTGAAGATGTCTGACCAAAATTCTGACTCATCTTCTTTGTATGCCCTTTCTCCAAAATAACAAGATCTTTTAAGTGTGCTTTCCACATTTACTCTGGTTGTCCAATTCGACATGTACCTTTATGGTCATTTTTTCTTATCCAAATGGAAAAGTTACCCCTTCCAGACATTCTGGCCATCCAAGTCACAGAAAAGTGGGTAGAAGTTAACCCTTTAGACCCTGAGAGTGACTGGCATCTTATCTCTCCTTACCATATCACCCCTGAATCAAGCATGAAAGTCATGGGAATAGAGGAGATGATCACCAACTCTCGATTGTTAAACAAATTCTCCCTGTCAGCCTCTTTGGAAATGTATGGAGAACAGTATGTAGAATATGCATACTGATGTTAGGGTGTAAAGGGTTTAAGTACAAACCAAGTGGCCTGCACTAGGATAGCTTATCTCAGCTTCTGCAGCATGACTGGACCATGACTGATATTGATCCCCATAAATTGAGAGCAACTGCATTGAGGTATTGCATCACTTTCCCAAGAAAATAACACAGTACCCCCAGTCAAGGTTAGAAGACTGTACCTCAGATATCTTGACATCAGGGTAGTATGAATAAGCAGTAGAAGATGCCGTCAAGACCTCCATTACAAGGGGATTGTCAGGATCAGCAGTCATTCTGTCAAAAGGAAAAACAAAATGAAGTTTGCATACAGCACTTGCTTCTCAAACAGAAATTATTACATGCACATTTCTCTTTCAGACAATAAAAAGATACAAAATGCTATGGTAGGAGTTACAAAAAGACTTCAACTCAGATGTCTGTTTTCTGTAAACTTTAACCCCTTAACTCCCAGAGGTGATTGACATGTAAATCCTCCTTAAGTTCTGCATATATATCCCAGTAAACAGGTAACAAGAATACTGAAACTCTCCAGGAAGAAGTAGATATCTTAATCCAACACTACATTCTTGTAACAAATTTGCAGGAGACTGTGTAGCAGCTAAAGGGAGAATCAAAAGCAGATCTTGGCAGAGATAACTCTACTTACCCAACTCCTTTAAATAATGAGGGGTTTGTCACTGAGTGTCCTGTAACAGTGCTAGCCTTGATGACATTTGAAGGGTCGGCAACAATTAGAGTATGCTAGAAATATGATTACAAAAAGACAGTCACAAAGGTGTTGCACTTCATACAAGATACTCAAACATTGATTTTTGGTTCCTGTAAGCTGAGGAACACTTTTCATGCTGGTTGCAGGCCAAACAGAAATGTATTCATGATGGTAATAGGACCGTACCACGTGGAGTCCAATTTGGTCTGTAACCTTACGAGTGATTGACAAAATTGGACAACTGCAAAGTGGGAGTCCAATTTGTTGGTAATTGTGAAGAAGAGCTCCCCAAAAAACCTGTCGGCCGACTGTCGGTCA